CCTGAGTTTGCAAAAGAGATTTCAATGTGCTGCAGACATACAGAGATATTGCAGTCCTCTCTTCCAAAGAATGTTCTGCAAAATCCTGAAGAACTGCTCAGTAATTTCATGTAGACATCAAACGATCCTTCAAGCCCATTAAGCCCAGAATGCTGCAAAGATGAAAAACATGTAGCTTAAAAACCAGATGTGGAACTTGTAAGCTACTACTAATGCGTAGACATATTAACAATACTAAATCAAACTGACAAAAGAAACAAGAAATTTGACCAAAACTGAGTAAGCAGAGCAAGATCGTTTCTGGTACCAACCCAAAAATCAAACTTCAAAACTAAAACTTGATACGTAGGGCATAAAGTACAATGCAAAACAATAAGAGACATTAAAATATCATTAAGTAAGAAAATTGTAAAAGGGTTCAACAAACAACACAACAAAGTTAATAATGTGAAAAGTCAACGTACCATATAAATCCTGAGGTCATCTAGGAGGTTTATGAGCAGTGCTTCTTTTCCAGCATCTGCCTGATCTGTCATCTCAGCATCCGCCGAAAATATATCTTTATCAGAACCTACGACATTCATCACGATATCACCATCCTTCTCAAGTCTCTTAAGGCGTTTTTACCTATCTACTAATCCACTATACAACACTGCTTTTCTCTTCAAAGTCGGCTTTTGAGTACAGTCAATAACACCTGGGGATCTGGAAAAAATGTCACAGCCCTATCCCGGGGATCCATCTAAAACCTAACTTCTAAATCAAGGAAGCTTTAGATGTTTAGTGTTGGAGGCAAATTGAAAGATTAATTGGGCTTAAAGAGAGNTATNAAGGAAAACTTTTTGTTAAGTATTGGATTGNACCGATCATTTCATTTAAGNATATCGAGCCCATAAGCCCATAAGATGAAATGGTGTGTGGTTAACGCATAAAAGCTAATTAACCCTAAACCTAGCCTTCCTAGCATCCACGTGAATCAGAGAAGGAGAAGGAGGCAGTGAGTTTCGCAAGAGAAAGAAAATCAGAGAGAAAACTTGGAGAAGAGGGGAGAAGAAAACGTTCTCATGGAGTTGAGGAAACGTGGATGAAGGAACAAGGAAGAAGAAGACGGTTTGGGTGGGATGAAAGAGATGGAGAAGGGTATCGCCAGTGGTGGACAGGCTGCTGGAGAAGAAGACCAGAGACGAGACAAAGAATAAGTTGAACGTGATAGGAGGGAGAGCTGTCCCGTTTTATGGAAGGAGAGGACCGAANAGGCAAAACGTATCGGAACTGAATGAAACTTTCTGGGTACGTAAGCGAGACATAGAACTTTCTATAGCCGAAAACCGTTTGTCATTCGGAATTATGATCTGAAGGTTATTGGTGNTTTTATGGACTGATCTGTGCAGAATGAACATGCGACCAGTCGACTTCGCAGGTGATTTCCGGCCAAGTCCTAAAGAACTAGATGTTGATCTTGGTTTCGTTGGAAAGATCACGGATTCTAGTTTCTGAAGCTTTTTCGGATTTAAATTACGAGGTATGGTCTGCTCGCAAATCGTATTTGAATATCAGGAAAAATCACAGTTTTCTGAATCTGAAATTCTTAGTCTCAGATCCGACCAGAGCACTTGCGGGTGATTTTCCGACGAACCGTGAGGATTTATGCGACAATCTACATACCGTTGGATAGAGGATTCTTCGTAGATTCCGTGGCTTTTTCCGATTTGGATTCCGAGGTAAGATGAACCCGCAATCTACGATTTAAATTTACCCTAGATGTCTGACCAGATTCTGTTCTCGGGTTTCACAGAGCTAACTTTGGAGGAAGGTCTACGCTGTTACAGAAGGAGTTAGAACACGATTTTGGTACCGTTGGAAAGGTGACGTTACAAGAACTTCAGATCAAGTTCCGGTTTTCCAATCCGATCTAAATCCGGTGAGTTGTTGATGTTTCTTTCTGGGCAAGAAACATTTATTCTGTCAAAATCCAGAAACGTATTTTTGACTTGAATCGCTCTTCCAGAACGCAGATTCACATCCTTCTAGGTTCACTCCTCCATTTTTGGTCATCCAAAGGTTAAGGTGANNGTGTTAGCTAGATTACTTTAATACTCGTTAACAATAGATGCTCTTACATGTTAGTCTAGGAATGAAATGTGTTGTTGCGGTTATATGTGTTAAGTCTAGGAATGTTTGATGTGTGGTAATTGCTTGGTAATTAAATAAAGTTAAAGATTAAAAAAGTATTGTTTGAGATTGTTAGAGTATAGGATATAGTTCTGGGAACGATCGTGTACGTAAGCCGTTACAGAACTTTGCGTGTTGGACTACGAACGATCGTGTATGTAAGCCCGTTGTAGTTTTGGGCCTTAGAGAGCCGACGGGGAGGACAGACCCAAAACGGTAGAAAGGGGTTGGCTCCGCCGTGNTTTTTTAAGTNAANG